AAGAGAACCTCCGTAGTCACAAGGATGACGACATGGATTCCTTCCATATTCGTTTTGGAAGATTCTCATGGGGGGCCCCACCGTCGGAACATCTTTTTTCAATCGCGATCTTCTGCCCTCCTTTCGGCCTTCGGGGGCCCGTCATCGGGCCCCGGGGCAAGGAAAAATGCGCCCACGTCGCAAACACTACCCCTTGGGATGGGGTCGGGAGCTCTGGGGGGGGGGAATGCGAAGGAGGAGGTCTGCTCAGAAGGCGGCGGGACTTCTCAGAAGCCCTCGCGCCCTCTGAGAATCTTCATCCGTCTTCGGGGAGAGCTTCGAACGCTTCCCAGAAGGCCGGGGGACTTCCGAGACTTCCGAGGAGGCCCGCCCCTTCCTCCTTCCCCACGCTTGCTCGCCGCCGATCCGCAAGCCACATCGGAGCCTGTCTGGGACTGGGGGCCCCCAAGGGAAGCGGGCCCTGGGCCCCGTGCCTTCCCCCGGGGCCAGCTCTTCCTGCTGGGCTGCCCTTCGACGGCCCCAGGGCCCGAGGCGGGCCCCGGGAGGCGGACAGCGGGGCAATGCCCCAACAGGACCCGCGCCCCTCAGGGCCTTTCTCCTTCACGATAATTCGCTTCCTCCTCCTCCTCCTCCTCCTCCTCCTCCTTCTCCTCGTCTCCCCCAGGGGGGATCCGTTTGCTTCATGGCGGCCCCCAACGGGGCCGAACGCGTCTGGCAGCCTGCAGCCGAAGTCCGCCTCCTCGTCCTCGTCCTCGTCCTCGTCCCCGTCCCCGTCCTTCACAACATGCATACATACTACTCGCCCCTCTCTCCCCCGAGTATGTCCTGAGAGTAGTTGCCGCCCCCTCCGCGTCCTGTTTGGTACACACAGTGATTCGCGCGAACTGGCTTTACATATGGTTTTGTCCGAACCATTCTGTGGTGTTGGGTCCTCGTTTTGACGTGACAACGCCCCGCGTCCTTCCTCCCGCTGCCCCCCCTCTCTCAAGATCTCAGCGTCATCATCATCATCATCATCATCATCATCATCATCATCATCATCATCATCACCAGCATCATCACCAGCATCATCATCATCATCATCACCAGCATCATCATCATCATCACCATAACCATCAACACCATCATATGTAATCATAATCATCATCATCATCACCGCCATCGTCATCATTATCATCATCATCACCACCATCGTCATCATCATCATCATCATCATCATCGTCATCGCCATGCGCATCATCATTATCACCATCGTCGTCGTCGTAATACTTATCGTCACCATCACCATCACCATTATAACATGCATCACCCTCATCACCATCTTCATCATCATCATCACCATCACCATCATCATCATCATCATCATCACCACCGTCAATACCATCAATAACATCACCATCACCATCACAATCACCATCGCCATCATCATCATGGTCATCATCATCGTCATCATCACCATCAACATGACCGTCATCATTACCATCATCGTCATCAGCGTCGCCGTCATCATCACCACCATCGCCATCAACTTCGGCACACCCCTCAAACGTGTCGTGGCCCCACAGGGAGCTCCACCCAGGGTCCCAGTAGCGCAACCCGCATGTGGGCGGCACCCTCGTTTCGGCACACCCCTCACATGTTTCGTGGCCCAACAAGGAACTCCACCTAACCGCATGCCGCGGATAATAAAGGTTACCCCCCTTCACCCCCTCTATCTGATTATCCACGGGGTGTATGTGGGTTCAAATAGCCACAGGAGGCGTGGGGGGCGAACTTCATAGTCACCCCCAAAGTTCGCATCGTCACTCTGATCTTCATACCCTGCGTAACACCATGAGTAATCCTTGTTATCGTTGTCGTGAAGATGTCTCACGCGAAACGCAACTTTTGAAGATTCGCTGAGTTCGCGACCAGCCGCTTTTCAAAGATGTCTCAAGCAAAACGCAGGGTTCTGTAAAACGCACTGTCGCGAACGTGTCAGTTTTGCACGCTCAATGCTCCCTCCCCTCCTTCCGTCCCCGCAGCTGTTCGAGGCCCAAGCCGTTTGCGAGGCCCAGCTGTTCGAGGCCCGGCTCTCCTCCCTCCCTCCGTGCCCCGTCCGAACTTTTGAATCACCGCCTTTTTGTAACATCGGCGAGCAACAACCATGAGTACCTACACGAGGAGCAGGAAACCACCACGAACCCTTCAGCTTTACACGTAGAATTTGATAGGCCCAGAAGTTCGATTTTTCTGGACATCTCCTCCTCCCCCTTTTCCTTCTCCTCCTCCCTCTACTCGTCCTCTTCCTTCTCTTCTCTTACTGCTGCTCCTCCTACCTCTACTCCTTCTCTTCTCTTCTCTTACTGCACTTATTTTTCGTTTACAGGTATCCTGCTCCTTCTACATCTTAATGCGCTCCCCCTCAAAGGGACCAATGTGCCACGGAACTATAGTATTTCACAAGTTTCGTACTCGTCCCATACCTGTAGGCAGGCCCCCAAAGAGTGGCCAGTATATCATTCTACCATCCTATTTCTCAGGATCCGTGCTCACCCAACTCCTTCAAACAAGCTCCAAGGGAAGTCTTCTCCAGACCAACTTGGAGGTCATTCAAGACCCATCCGGACATCCCAACACCGCTATCTCTGGGAAGAATTTGCTATCCTTCCAGGACCCCGAACTTTACTGTCCTCAGGGTGCGATTCTCTCCGGCATAGAGTTACGGTCCCAATGGCGCAGCCCGCATGTGGGCGCCCCCCTCCTTTCGGCACATCCCTCACACGTTCCGTGTCCCCCCAGAAGGAGCTCCACCTGTGGCCCCAGTGGCGCAGCCCGCATGTGGGCGACACCCCCGCTTCGGCACACCCCTCACACGATTCGTGGCTCCAGAGGGAGCTCCACCTGAGGCCACCATGGCGCAGCCCGCATGTGGGCGCCACCCTCATTTCGGCACACCCCTCACACGTTTCGGGGCCCCGCAAGGGGCTCCACCTGAGGCTCCAGTTGCGCAGCCCGCATGTGGGCGACACCCCCGCTTCGGCACACCCCTCACACGTTTCGTGGCCCCAGAAGGAGCTCCACCTACGGTCCCGGCGGCGCGGCCCGCATGTGGGCGATACCCCCGCTTCGGCACGCCCCTCACACATTTCGTGGCTCCACAGGGAGCTCCACCGAAGGCCCTGGCGACACAGCCTGCATGCGGGAGTTGCCCCGTTGTGAGTTCCACCTCAGACGGTACTCACAATTGTGGTACTCACAACTGCATCTGCTTGGGTTCTTCGCCAGGCTAGACTTTACAATCAGATTTCTTAGATATTTTCAAAAATGGTGCTCTCGCTGCAGCGTGGGCAACATTTTCGTGTCGGCGCTATGCTCCCGTCGTTCAGAATGGGGCTCCCCGCCCCAGCGCGGCCACTTTTCTGGATCCCACAGGGTCTCGCAGGTCCCACGGGCCTCGCAGGTCTCGCAGGCCCCACAAGTCCCACAGGACCCACAAGATCCACAAGTGTCGCAAATCGTCCCGCAGGTCCCACAGGTACCTCCAGTCTGACAAGTTCCACAAGTACCACAAGTGTCGTAGGTCTCGCACGCCCCACAGGTCCCACAAGTGCGACAAGTCCCGCAAGTCCCAACTATCGCATGCCTCACAAGTCCATGAGAAGTCCCACAAATCCGCAGGTCCGGCTGGTGCCACGGGTCCCACATGTCTCACAGGTCGCACGCGTCCCCCAGGTCCCACAGGCCATGTCCCACAGGTCCCACAGGTCCCACAGGCGTCGCAGGTCTCACAGGCCACTGAGGTCCCCCAAATCGGACAGGCTCCGCAAGCTTGCCTTTTCCAGCTGCGCATAATACGATGAGTCTTTCGTGGAGTTCCAGGCCAGTTATGACACGCGTCCGCGGGTAGAGAACAAACATCAGCGCAATGGGAAGGGATGGGAGGGAGGGATAGAATGTCAGATGCGCCGCGAGCGCACCTAGCTTGTCCTCCTCCTCCTCGTCCTTCTCCTCGTCTCCTCCCCACCTCTTCTGGGGGGGGGTCGTTTGTTTCATGGCGGTCTCCTACGAGGCCGAATGCCTCCGGCTGCCGGTAGACGAAGCCCGCCTCCAAGGCCGCGCCGTTCCCGTTCGCGGCCACGACCTCGACCATCACGGCCCCTTCCAGACGGGCTCGACCTGAACAGTGTTTTGCGTTTTCGTTTTGTTTTCGTCTCCCCTCGTTCTGTTTCCGTTCCGCCCTTGCTGCAAAACGAAATCAGAACGGTCCACGACATCGCCAAAACACTGTCTATAGCTCGATCCCTGCTTCCCAGAAGCAAGAAACGCCAGCGTCAGCACAAACTTCTGGAGGTCCGCGTGGACTTCCTGGATCGGCGCTGGGCCCCCCTAGGGGCGGTGCCCGAGGCGCAGCCGAAGGGTCGAGCGCCAATCCGAGACATCCGGGGGGACCTTCATGAGAGTTAGGGGTCCCGAGCGGTCTCACTTTCTCCCCGCGCTCGCGTGACCCAATGGGTCGGGGGGAACGAAAGGGGGGGACAGCAAAGGGCAGGGTAGAGACTCAGCTCACGCAGCTGACTTTCCCAGCGCCTCCCGGCGCAGGGAGACGCCCATGCATCGAGGAATGGGCCCGGCGGCGGGGCCGAAACTAGCTGCATGCAGCAGATTTCGTACCCCCCCTCTTTTCCCTAGCCCCCCCTTTCGTTCGGCCCGAATGGAGGGCCCAGCCTCTGTGGGCTACACTTGGGGGCTACAGTCCCCAGACATCGGACGTCGTGATATTCTGTGCAACGTGGCTCCCCAGAGGTCTGGACCCCTTTTCGAGGACCCGCTTTCCATCCTGAGTAGTTTTTTGACAACCCCAGAGCCCGGCGAGGGCTCCCAGGGGCTGGACACTGGCAGGAACCAGTCGTCGTGTTCCTTTTTTTCGCCGCGCGAGGATGCCGAGGTCCGAAAATCTACGTTTTTCCTATATCTATCTAGGTATGGCGGGCTCCAGAAACCCTGAACCTAAAAAGGTTGCCACCTCTTGGGGTGGTATTCCAGGTTTCGTAATAAAAGGGAGGGGGTCTGGACCCTCCAAGACAAGCCATTTCAGACCTCCCCCGTGGGAGAACCCTCCAAAACATCGTCCCCAGACCCCCCCAGGCCCTCCAAGGTAGCTTGGAAAAGACCCCCCCCCCGAAATGAGGCCCCCCTCCCTGTATTACGAAATCTGGAATATCTTTTACTTCCGCCGGCTTCCGCCGGCGGAGGCGGCCTGGCTTTGCTTCCGCCGCCCTCCGCCGAAGACGAGGTGGCAACCTTTTTCGATCCTCGAGAGCGAGAGGCCCTGTCTGGAGCGCCTCGAAGTCTGGCATAGATATACAAGCCTTCGGAGGTCCGCGCTGCTTTCTCGGCTCGGCGCTGCCCCCCCCCCCCCCCTCCCTGGCGCTCGCTGCGCGCCAGGCGCAGCGCCAGCAGCGCCGCCAGGGGGCCCCCTGCGCCGATCCGAGAAATCCGCGCGGACCTCCGAAAGGCTGCGTTTCTGCAGCTCTTCTGCCATGCAACAGTGCTAACACATGGGCGATGACAAGAAAGGGGTCTTGAGCGTGATGACACAGCGACCCTACGCGGCGGCTTACGCGGGCCGCCAGCGCGGCACGCCATATTGGAGACGAGGGCGCTTACGCGCGACCTTACGCGGGCAGCTTGCGCGCCAATGTCGGCGCAATCGACCCCGTTTTCTTTCGTCGCTCATATGGGTTATAGGGTGACATTACACAACTATATATAAATACTACAAACGCACACGCACTTCGACCTTCGGTGCGGCGCGGTGGCACGAGGACGACGGCCTCCGCCTCCGACGCCCCGGCCGAGAGCTCGCACGCCTGGCCCGCGATCCTGACGGCGGCCACGGCGGCGGAGACGGCGGCGACGACGACGACGACGACGAGGACGAGGACGGCGACGAAGCCGACGAGGACGAGGAGGGCGACGAAGCCGACGAGGACGAGGAGGAGGACGACGACGACGACGGTGACTGCTCCATGACCCTGCTATCATGACGAGGGCGACCCACGATCCTGACGGCGGTGATGGGCGCCGCGAGGCTGGAGGTGGTGACGCGCACCCAGTCCTGAGGGGCAGCGGCGGGGGCAGGTCCTCCGACGGGATGGCTTTTCAAATCGCGGCTCGCCCCTGGAGCCTCATAGTTCGAACTGGCTCGAAAGATGCAGGAAGGAGGGGTCCAGGGCTCCGGTCGAGTATCTGTGCGATGTTGTACTGTCTCTGTCTTGGCGACGCCGGAGCACAAAAAGGGAGGGGGGCCCGGAAACGGCAGCGCCATTCTTTTCACCGTTTCCGAAAAATGTTTCTTGAACATGGAAGCGGTAAAGAACCAGCAGCCGGAAGCGGACAACACACGGCCCTAGACTTGGAGCTGGAATCGGCAAAGCCACGGCGACCGGGCCGGGAAAAACGGCGCCGGAGCCCGCAGCGAAAGCGGCGAAGCCGAACTGGTCAAGAGACGGCCCTGGCATGTCCAGGACTCACTGCAGTGGAGGTCAGTCCACAAGAACACGGACGAGAACGAGGAGGAGGAGAAGGAGGAGGAGGAGGAGGAGGAGGAGGAGGAGGGGGAGGAGGAGGAGCAGGAGCAGGAGCAGGACGAGGAGGAGGAGGAGGAGGGGGTCGAGGAGGAGGTCGAGGGGTCGAGGAAACCTCCCACAAGAAGCCCCACCCTGAGGCCCCAGGACGCCCATGGGTTCTTGGTGCGGGAGCGCCACGCTGCCCGTCGCAGAACCATCGAAGCCCAGGCAAGCCCGGGGCACCCTGGAGGCAAGCAGGGCGCGTCTTGGCACGGGCCTCCACTGTGCATCGGAGCCTCGCCGCGCGAACGCCGCCCCATCTTGAGCGCCGCGCGAGGCCTCCCCGATTTCCCCCACAGTTGACTCTCCTCCTCCTCCTCCTCCTCCTCCTCCTCCTCCTCCTACCCCTCCTCGTCCTCCTCCTCGTCCTCGACTGGCTCCCCTGATGTCCTCTCGTTCCGAAGCAGATCACGACGCAAGGCTTCTGCCCACGCTGCGGCCTCGGCGGGCCCTCGCGGGGCACTGTGGGCCGTCACAGAACGGCTCGGGACGGACAGCCCGTCCTGGGAAGGGGTGGGGTCCGGGCCTCTGGGAAGCCACCGTGGGGGCAAAGCGCGGCCGGAGGTTTTTTCCAAGCGCAAAGACACCACGGGTGACACAGCCACGTCGCGAATCAAGAGGTCGCCATAGGCAAGCCAGGCGCACCGCACACGCCGACCTGCCAGAGGCGGGCTCATGCGCTGAGCCGTGGCCTGCACCACAGATCGACAACGCAGCTGCGACGGCAGGCAGGAAGGAGGAGGACGGAGGAGGACGGAGGAGGAGGAGGAGGAGGAGGAGGAGGAGGAGGAGGAGGAGGAGGAGGAGGAGGAGGAGGAGGAGGAGGGAGGAGGAGGAGGAGGGGGAGGAGGGGGGAGGAGCGAGAAAGGACGCTCGCGTCGTGTGTGCGGAGCAGATCACGAGGGAGGGTGCCTGGCCCCCAGGGGGCGGGGACGCAGCGACCTGCTGCCTCGGCGAGGTGCACCGCCGATGGCGGCGGCCCGCAGAAGTGGTGGGAACGACCCGCGCGCTCTCCTGCGAAGGGCGGGGCGTGCAGGCCCCGATCGGCGAGAGGTTGGGCGACGGGGGGCCGCTGCTCCCCCCCCCCCCCCGGAGGGGCAACGATGCAGCCAACACGTATCTCAAGGGGCCCAGGGACACACAAAAGGAATACACACACAAATGTAACAAGACTCCCCCATGTTTTTCCAGATCTTCTAGGTTTCCGTCTTCCCCCCCACTTCCCATATTTTCCTGGGAGGCGACGATTCATTGTGTCTGTGTGTTTCTTTCCCTCCTGAGCATCATAGGGACACGCGGTAAGGACGCAAGGGTCTTGGCGGGCCAAATGGACGTTTTTCGAACGAGGTGGGTCAGCGAAGGTCACCAAGGATGGACCCAAGGGGCAAGGATGCAAGGGTACCCGTGGGAAGGTTGCCCATCCTTCCTGTGCGAGTTGGCTGTAGGGGGGGGATAGTCCCAGGGGGGAGCAGCAACATCTAGCTGGAACCGGCGACACACTGCCGAGAGGGGCCTGATAGCCCGCCCAGCCCCGGAACGCGTGGACTCGCCGCTGGAGGCTTCTCGCCGATCTATCGGCGAGGCATCGCTGCTTCCAGCTCGATTTCCGCCCCCTGAGCCTACCCGCCTCCCTCGTTGCCCTTGATCCCCCTGCCGCCCAATGAACCTCGTCGTCTGGGTTTCGGGCCACAGCTCGGGTCTCCGGCGGCCGTTCGGGACGATCTGGGCACCCCTGGACGCCTCTCGTCGAGGCGCAACTGTTGGAGAGCACCCCGAGGCTGGAAAGCCACCGTGAGACGGCGAAAGCGGCCGAACACCTCGAACCTCGAACCGCCGTCGCCCCCCCCCCCCCCCCCCATGTTGTCCCTGACTTGCCCCCAAGTCCCCCCTTTCGGCGGCGATCCCAGTGGGAAAGTGAAAGGAGGCGGGCCTTCTCAGAGGGCGGCAGGGCTTCCCAGAGGCCCTCGCCGCCTTCCGAACAGTTCGCTGAGCATCCTCCGAAGCCGCAGACGGCTTCTCAGAAGGCGCGAGGGCTTCCGAGAAGCCACGCCGCCTTCTGAGAATGCCCGCCCCATCTCGCTTCCCCCCTGAGCTCGCCGCCGACCCTTGGCCCGTCCCCCCACCCCCGTCGTTGCCCCGAGGTCCCCGCCAGCTGGCGCCCCGTGCGGCGGCTCCACGGCGAGCACCCGGCCCGGGACCCAGTACGCGAAGGCGCCCTCGAACAGGATGCCCTGGCCGTCCTTCGGCGGCCAGCGAGGAGGGGAACGAGGAGAAGGCCTTCTCAAAGGCGGCGGGGCATCTTCTCAGAAGCCCTCCCGCCTTCCGAGAAGGTTATCTTCTTTATTCTTCGGGGAAGGCTCAGAAGACTTCTTCAGAAGGCCGGGGGACTTCCGAACCTTCTGGGAAGGTCTTCTCCTCCTCCCCCTCCTCCTCCTCCTCCTCTTCCTCGTTCTCGTCCTCGTCCTCCTCCTCCTCCCCCTCCTCCCCCTCCTCCTCCTCCTCCTCCTCCTCCTCCTCCTCCTCCTCCTCCTCCTCCTCCTCCTCCTCCGCGCCGCCGAGTCCTGCAGCACCACGGCCACGTCCACCAGGACCGGCGCCTCGGCCTCCGGCGGACAGGAGCGGCACAGCGGCACGACGAAGAGGCCCCCCGCGAGCTCCGCGCAGGCCCAGCCGTCCACGAGCACGCACCGCGGGGGCGGCCCCGCGCCCGCCCAGCGCAGCGTGGCGCCCCCGCGGCAGGAGCCTCTGCACGAGGCTGGGCCTCAAGCGTTGTTTTTTTCGTTCCGTTCTCCTGTGCCCTCGTCTTCTGCTCTCGTCCTCTGCTCTCTGCTTCTGCTCTCCTTTACCCTCTTGTCCTGCACCTTCTTCTGTACCTTTTTTTTCCCCGTTGTCCTGTGCCTGCTTCTGCCTTCGTTCCGTTTGTTTTGTTCAGTTTTTCGTTATGTTTTCGTTCTGTTTTACGTCTTGCTCTGCCCGTTTTCCTGTTCCTCCCCCCCCAAAACGGAAAAACTAGATGCAGCCGAGGCCCCGCAGACCAGCGTGTTCAGGTCCAGCCCTGCCTCTGCAGGGAGGGCCCGCAACCCAGACCCCCGACGGCATGACTTTTCTTCTCGTGGCGCCGACCCCCAGAGGTCTGGAGCCCCGTTCCCAGGATGTCCGGTCCTGCATCCCCCGAGTCGTCGTTCGGCGGTGGATAAACCTCCCTTTAGTAAACCTCCCTTTAGGGGAAGCGGCCTAGGACCGAAACCGACGGACCTAGACCCGCAAAAATGACGGCCGCGACGCCCTCTCGCGAACCGGAAACGGCCAATTCACTAATCGACGTGTCAGGGTAGGAGGTCTATCCACCTCCGAGTCTTGTTTGACGCTCCCGAAGCACACGGCAAGAGGGGCCCCCAGAGGCCGGAAGTAGCGACGAACCTCCTGTCATGACTTTGTTCGGGACTCGAGGGGGGTCCGGGACGGCCGTGCGGCGACAGGCTGCGCGGTGGCCTCGGCCGGCATGGCCGCAGGCGGATCTTGGAAGAACAATAGGAAGCATATAGCAAAACAATGCTCAAACATAGGCACAACATGGTCGAAACATCGTCCCCAGACAATCTTTTCAAAACCACTTTTGAATGCTACTCCCGTGCGTCCGGTTCGTGTCGTGCCGACTTCGGCGTTGGTTTCTGACACCGCAGGGATCGTTCCACCTTGAACGATCGGTCGTTTCCGAAACGTCCAGATCGCTCCACAACGAATGACTCTGGGTCGCCCCAAAGGGACCTTACCCGCGCGGGGCCCGTCGATCGCGCACGGGTTTGCTTGTTGGGGGACTCTCCCGCGCGGCCCCAGCCGCCCGAGGCGACGCGTCCTCGGGGAGCGACCCGAGGCCCAGAACCGTGCGGCCTTCCCAGACTGAGGGGCCCTACCGGGCCTCGGGGCCGTCAAAAAACGACTCGGAATCAAGAACCGGTCCCTGGGAAGGGCTCCAGACCTCTGTCGAGGTCACGAACAAAAATCATGACGTCGGGGGTCTGGGACCCCGCGTCCCGACCGGGAACTCTGTGAGGGTAATTGGTTCTTGCAGCCCGCGGGCCCCAGAAGCCTCGACCCCTTCCCCCAAGGATAGTTCAGTCGTTGTCCCCGGAGCCCTCTTCGAGGGCCCCATGGGGCCCGAGGGTGGCCCCGGGAGGCCGACCTCAAAAGGACACGCGCCAGGCCTGGAGCAGCCCGCCCGCCCGAAGTCCGGGCACCGACCCACCACGCCCGGGTGCGTGCACCGCACCGCTCGGGGGGCCCCCGGGGAGCCGCTGGCCGGGCTCAGCGGCAGGAGGCCGGGGTCCATGTGCAGCAGCGCGGGGCCCTCCAGGCTGTCGGGCTCCGGCAGGGCCCCTGGCCCGCCGCCGACCTCCCGGGGCAGCGAGGGCGGCGAGATGCACACCTCGGGGGGGCAACTCTGGGGAGCAGCTCCCTGGGGGGAGAACGTCGAGCGTGAAGCGGCGGCTCGTCGACGATGGATCGGCGCCGGGCCCCCGGTAGCGACTCCGCATGCCCCTGGGCGGGGCGGGGCTGTCGGGCCCCCATCAGCGATCCAGGGGCGATCGTCAGCGAGCGAAGAGCGGTATAAAATAAACTTTTTCGCCATCGGGGACACCTGCCCCTGGGCGGCTGGAAAGTCTATACCCCTACGGTGCCACCGTAAGGGTGTATAAACTTTCCAGCCGCCCAGGGGCAGGCGTCCCCGACGGCGAAAAAGTCTATGTTATACCGCTCTTCGCCCGTTAAGATAGGGGGGTCGCTGCGCCCCCCCCCCACTCTCAGCCTGTCCCCCCCTTTATCGCTGCCCCTGAACACCGTCAGCTCCTCCAGGAGGGCCGCCAGCCCCGCCGGCGCGCCCGCGTGGCTCGCGGCGAGGGCGTCCAGCCAGCCGCAGTCCTCCACGCGGCCGCCCGCCTGCTGAGCGGCGCGCTGGATGAACGCCTTCATGGCGGCCACGTCCTCTGAGGAGCCGATGGCGGGCTCCAGAACCTCCTCTCCTCCTCCTCCTCCTCCTCCTCCTCCTCCTCCTCCTCCTCCTGCTCCTCCTCCTCCTCCTCCTCCTCCTCCTCCTAGCTCCTCCTCCTGCTCCTCCTCCTCCTAGCCCCAAACCCTTGCCATCTCTCCGGGGCGCACTTTTGACTTGCGCTGGCTTCCGCCGCCCCTCTCCGCCGAGGGCGAGGCGGCAACTCCGCACGAGGACGATCTCTGGAAGCGAGGACCTTTCTGGAAGGCCTCGCATACTGACATACATACGCATGGACTTGCGGAAATCCGCGCTGCTTTCTCGGATCGGCGCCGCCCCCCCCACTCCCTGGCGCGAGCAACACGCCAAGGGCGGCGCCGGAGGCGCCGCCAGGGGGCTCCCGCGCCGATCCGAGACACCCGCGCGAACCTCCGAACATGATAGTTTCTGTAATTTTTTGCTTCCCGAGTCCTGGAGCCCCGCGACCGCCTCGTAGCCCGCCTCGCTCACCTCGGGGAGACGCAAGACTCGGGTTCGCGGGACTCGGGTGGGCCTGATAGGGCCTTCAGGAACAAGACGAGACCCAATCTGAAATTTGACGCGAGCTCCTGCTGCAACCATCCCACGGAACCTGGACCGTCAAGATCTAGGGCGGGCCTGTCAAAAAGCGTCCGCAAACCCGAGTTCTGGCGAACTCCCAAACCTCCGATGTCGTACTTTTTTTGCATGTGAGCCCCGCTGGTCTTGGGACCAGTTCCCCGGGGCCGGTTTCACGCCCTGGATAATTTTTGCTGACCGCCCCGGGGTCTGGCCAGGGCCCCCAGAGGTCGGATCGGAGGATCGCGCCGCATCGGTGATGCATCGGCGATACATCGCCGACGCACCAGCGATGCATAGTCGAC